GCCGCTGCTGCCACCGCTGCCCAACTTTCAAAGTTCGAATCTCCCCGGAAAAAACCCCCATCTCTAAACATTCCCTTCCTTCCGTCAGCAGTGGCGTGGCCTCAGCCAAAGGGCGCGCAGCTCAGAAACTGCACCGGGGGATTGGCCCCAGCCACGCGACCCGGCCACTCACGTCTCTGTCGCGTTCTCGGTGTTGTTATGGGTCTTGTTGTTGTTGTTGCTGTCATCGTCATAATAAGAAGTTGACTCTGAGAGAGTTGTTGTTGTTGATGTTGTTGATGGTGTTGATGTTGTTAGGGATATAATTCCAGCCGGGTCTGTCCGGGTTAAGCGGCCCGGAACATATTTGAGCGTCCCGTGGTCACGCCATATCCACAGAGTCACCTCTCGAGCCGAGCTGCTGGCTCGATTAGTCGCGTGCAACCCGATATAATTTCCCGCTTACAAGCAACCCGGCACACAACGTCCAGGATACCTCTCCCTTTCCCGTCCACGGCTGCGACGCTTTCGTCGATTCGTCACGGACCCTCAAACGTCTCGCGTCTCCCAGCGAAGTGGGAAATATTCCGCGAGACATCAATCCTCCACACGCTGTCTTCTTGTTGTTGATGTTGTTGATGTGGTGGTGGTGGCGGTCTCTAACCGCAGTGCCACCCACCATCGACTCGCCTCTAGGGTCAGCTCGCCCGGTCGTTATCATCTTCAGCTCCACGAGAACCAGGCTGGGTACACTTGAATCGATCGCGGCGGGGGATACAATGGGAATCTTTAATCCCCTTTCTGGTACAACGCGAATCGTTCTCCCAAGGTTTGACCGTCGATTAAAAAGGTGCCCCCCCCACCCACCCACCCGGCCTTGGGTCCGTTGGTCCAAAAGTCGTCGCGTGGGAACGGCGCGGGGTGCCACGTGCCGCCCTGGGGGTGCCACGTGCCGCCCTGGGGGTGCCACGTGCCGCCCTGGGGGTGCCACGTGCCGCCCTGGGGGTGCCACGTGCCGCCCTGGGGGTGCCACGTGCCGCCCTGGGGGTGCCACGTGCCGCCCTGGGGGTGCCACGTGCCGCCCTGGGGGTGCCACGTGCCGCCCTGGGGGTGCCACGTGCCGCCCTGGGGGTGCCACGTGCCGCCCTGGGGGTGCCACGTGCCGCCCTGGGGGTGCCACGTGCCGCCCTGGGGGTGCCACGTGCCGCCCTGGGGGTGCCACGTGCCGCCCTGGGGGTGCCACGTGCCGCCCTGGGGGTGCCACGTGCCGCCCTGGGGGTGCCACGTGCCGCCCTGGGGGTGCCACGTGCCGCCCTGGGGGTGCCACGTGCCGCCCTGGGGGTGCCACGTGCCGCCCTGGGGGTGCCACGTGCCGCCCTGGGGGTGCCACGTGCCGCCCTGGGGGTGCCACGTGCCGCCCTGGGGGTGCCACGTGCCGCCCTGGGGGTGCCACGTGCCGCCCTGGGGGTGCCACGTGCCGCCCTGGGGGTGCCACGTGCCGCCCTGGGGGTGCCACGTGCCGCCCTGGGGGTGCCACGTGCCGCCCTGGGGGTGCCACGTGCCGCCCTGGGGGTGCCACGTGCCGCCCTGGGGGTGCCACGTGCCGCCCTGGGGGTGCCACGTGCCGCCCTGGGGGTGCCACGTGCCGCCCTGGGGGTGCCACGTGCCGCCATGGGGGTGCCACGTGCCGCCCTGGGGGTGCCACGTGCCGCCCTGGGGGTGCCACGTGCCGCCCGGGAGTTTCTGGGAGCAGTCTCCGTCTCGTTCGCCGACGGCGATGGGCGTCAGCGAGGTCCCGGCGGTGTGGGCCCTTGCTGACGAACATCGTCGCGCAGTGTGCAGGCAAGGCAAGGGGGTGATTGCGCGTCAGGCCCCGCTACTTAATGAACGGCAAGCCCAGGGTGGAACACTGCCTTGCGGCGAAACACTGCATAATTGGTGGACACTTCTGAAAAGTGGACACTTCTGAAAGGTGAACACTCGCCCACGGTGAAAAACTGCCCATGGTGTTGGAACCCCTGCCGCGGTGAGCCACCGGTAGCATTTGCCTCCCCAGGTGGTAGCGGCCTCCCCAGGGCCCCCTGCGGCTGATCGTCTGTGCTGCGGTGGCGATGGAGGTATCGGGAAAGGTGGGAAGAGTCTGGCCCGTTCGCCAGAACGATTTGGCACTGCGTTGGCATCGAGCAATGCAATCATCATCGTAATCATCATCATCGTCATCGAAGTCATCATGCCCAGCCAGAGGGCTGTGTAGACTCATCCACATACTCTCCGTACGGACAGACGTACGCATGCACAAAGCGCACAAAGCGTGCGCACGTGTCAGGGAAGCGTTTCTAACTTTACTCTGTTATCATCATCATCATAAATATAGAACGCTTGTTTAGTTTGTAGAGCCTCACTTGGGAGTCTCAACACTACTTTTCAGGAGGGTCCTGCCACGTTTTTCCTTTTGCAGTCGTGGGGGTAGCGATGCTGCTGCTGTGATCCCAATCGATAAATTGTTTTTCGGCCAATGCCGGTTGTCAAGTTGTGTGTGCGTGTTTGTCTGTGTTGCAGGGTTTTCTTTCTTTGAGCTTTGGTAGGAAACCAGAAATAGAACACACAAACTACACACAACCACACACACAACTACACACACACACAACTACACACACACAGAGAGAGGCACCCCGGAGTCGGGAATCGAACCCAGGGGGATTCTAACTGTGAGGCAACAGGCGTGACGTCACCGCTGCCGCCCTGTTACTTTTTGCTTCCTTTTGATAATCGGATTTAGTTCACAATTGTGTAAAGCTATGAAGCTTTTACTACTTCAGAGCTTGCCGATTCGTATAATTTCAATTGCCTCTGATGGAAAACTGTCACAATTTACTGGCACCAATCTGTGGAGCGATCGCCCCCCTTTCTAAACGCGAACGTTTTCTGCCGCTTGAGTCCCTGGGGGGCTCTTGGTCCTCTGTCTGCGAAGGGGTCGCGAGATTGGCGAATCGCCCCCCCCCCGCGTCATTCTCCTTTGGAAGCGACGTCACTGAAGCGACGTCACTGCCCTGTGACGTCTTAAATTTCGGACAACGTCCCAATATTTTGGGGTTTTTTTTCCCTTTCCGCTCCCTCCCGCACCCCCCCCCCCCCACGTACATGTACGCGCGTATACATGTGTACGTACGCACATGTATACACGTATACATGTGCGTACGCAGGGGCGAAGCCAGGATTTCAGGCCGGGGTGACATTCAACAAATTTTAATTTCAAGAATGATTCGAGAGTCAGGCTGTTGAACTAGACGCCATCGGTTGGCGACACACTCTGACAATGCAGTTGCACGGAGTCCGCCAGACCGAGTGTCGTACACTTTCACGCAGAATGTCACCCCCCCCTGTCACCCCCCCTGGCTCCGCCCCTGTGCGTACGTACACATGTACACGTGCGTACATGTACACGTACGCACGTATACATGTACGTACGCACGCATACATGTACGTATGCACGTATACATGTACGTACACACGTATACATGTACGTACGCACACACCCACCCCCGTGTAGCCTTAGCAGACTGTAGGGGCAAGTGTTGTTAGCGAGCACCTATGAAGGCCGGCATGGCACACGAGAGGGGTGGGTGGCCAACACCACGCCCGGCTGCCTTTGTCTCCCCAGTGGCGATGTTTACTACACACCGCACCAGGTACTCATTTGAGGCTGAGTCGACCTAGGGGAGGCCCAGGACCCTTTCAGATGATCGTCACCGGTGTTGGCCGTGGGCGGCAATCGAACTCGGGTGGCCGGGTTCGTAGCGCGGCGTAGCGCTCACCGCTACGCCACCGCTCCCCGCGTGAACATGCACGCACCACCACAGCAGCATAAGCAAATACAATAAGGTTCATTTATGGCTGGTGTCTGCTATTATTATTGTTATTATTATTTGTAATTATATTTTTACACTAAAGTTATCATCTTTAACTCCGTCGACTTTTTGCCGGAGGGTGGAAGAGACAAGACGCGAGCTCCCATCACCCCTCAGTTTGGCGGTCCTGACCCCAGCGGTGGAAAACTCCACAGTCGTATGGCAGGGATCAAGTCCTTCCGTGGGGGGACCGTCGTCTCAGCTTGACCGTCACAAAGAGGTACACGCTTTAGCGACCCCCCCCACTGCGGAGATGTCGGTGATTATTGGCCGGGATGGGACAGTGGGAGCGGCGATGTTTGAGTTTGCGACTTTCGTTCTGTACGCGACGGTTGGGGGTAGCAGGGCGGGCAGGGGAGTGGGGGGCCGGGTGGAACTCCGTGGTCGGAGCCGAACGTCCGGTGGGCTCGCAGAGCGGCGCTCGGGGCGGCGCGGTCCCTCCCGGCTTCCTCGGCGTCGATCTTCGTCACTTATCCCGTCAGCGTCTCGCTGCGTCGACTGGGCACGTCCACGTCCGTCCGTCCGCACCTCCGTCCGTCCGTATGTCCGCTCGTCAGTGTGTCCGTTCGCGTGTCCATCCGTGTGTCTATGTGTCCGTGAGTCCGTGCGCGACTCTCACTCTCTCTGATTCACGCTTCTTGTCTCCATCTGTCTGTTTGTCCATCTGTCTGTCTATCCACGTGTCGATGTGGCTGTGCATCTCCCTCCCTCCCGTCCTTTCGTATCATCTTTCTGTGCATCCATCTATCTATCACGTTCAACCATCTATCCATTAATCCATCTACCTGTCCGTTTGTACATCTCTCCCTTCGTCCATCTGTCTATCATCAGTCTGTTCATCGATTGCTTTCATACATTTGTCATGTTGCTGTTGATCTGTCTGCCAGTCAATTGCTCCTTTCCACCTCTCTGTCGATCTGTCTATCTATTGCTTCACTCCATTTGTCCCGTCTGTCCATCATTCTATCCCACCTGTCCGTCCATCCATTTCTTTCATCCGTCCGTCCACATGTCCATCCATCCGCCTACTCATCCGTCAGTTTTCCCGCATGTCCATTCACCGCTCGCTTCCGTCCGTCTACCGGTCGCTCCGTCGGTCGACTCCAGAGGGAGCTAGCACCAGTCGTCCTCGTCCGTCTCGCTGCACGCCCGCTCGCCCCCCCTCCGCTCGCCTCCCCTCCGCGCGCCGCCCCGCGGCTTCGCGCTCGGCGCGCCGCCGCGCCGCTGCGGCCGGTGGCCGTTGGGCAGCCGCGGCGGCCGGGGGCCGTGGGCCGCTCGCTCCGGGACGCCCCCCCCCATCGCCGCCTCCTCGTCCTCGTCCGCTCCCCCGCGCCGCCTCGCCGCCCGACGCGCCGGCGCGTGGCCTTGCCCGGCCGGAGGCGAGCGCGGCCCCGGCGTCGTCGCGCCGGCGCCGCGGGTGAGGCTCAGGTAGGGGTCGGACGCGTGGTGGCGCGCCGGGCCGGTCGAGCCGCCGTGCCGGCCGCCGGGCGCCGAGGAACGGACCCCGCCGCCTCCTCCGCCGGCGGCGGCCCGACGGCCGAACTCGTCGTCGCGCGGCGTCCTCGCGCGCTGCTGCTCGTGCGACGACCTCTTCGACCGCGGCTCCTCTTCCTCCTCTTCCTCCTCTTCCTCCTCCTCCTCCCGCTCCCCCTCCTCGTCGTCGTCGCCGCCGCCGCCACCGCGCCGGTCCCCCGGCGTCATCCGGCCGCCCTCCCACTCGCGGCCCTCCAGCACCAGCGAGCACACGCGCTTGGCCGGCGCGGGACGGGTGCCGGCCGAGCGGCGCGCCACGGACGCGGAGACGCCGCCGGTTCCCGCGGCGGAGGGCGACGGCGGCTGCTGCACGGGGGGCGAGGAGGAGCGGGTGCCAGGCCCGGAGCGGCCGGGGTGGAGCGGCGCTACCGCCCCCCCCGCCGCTTGCTGTTGTTGTTGGGGCGTGCGCGGGAGCTGGCGGCGCCGCGTGCGCAGGGGCGTGCCGCACACCGGCGTGCACGATTCCGACGGGTACCCGAGGCCCGGGCGCACGGGGCTGCTGCTGAGGGAGCGGCTGCCCTGTGAGGTGGGTGGGGGTGAGGACACGTGGTGGCCACGAGCGGGGGGACACGTGGGAACACGTGGGGACACGTGAGGACACGTGGGGGACACGTGAGGGACACGTGGGGAACACGTGAGGGACACGTGGTGGACACGTGGGGATAACGTGGTGGACACGTGGGGATAACGTGAGGGACACATGGGGATAACGTGAGGGACACATGAGCACGTGGGCCCAAACACAACAAACAAATATCCCCCAAATAGCCTGCACAGACTGTAGGGCAAGTGCTGTTGGAGAGTAGCAGAAGGCCGGCACAGCACACGAGGGGTGGGTGGCCAGCACCGCGCCCGGCCGCCTTTGTCTCCCTAGTGGTGATGTTTACGCACCGCACCAGGTACTCATTTGACTCAACCTAGGGGAGGTCCAGGACTGGTTCAGATCATTGTCACTGGTGTTGGCCGTGAGAATTGAACTCAGGTCTCCGGGTTTGTAGCGCAGTGCGCTAACCGCTACACTAACACTCCTCCACACACACGCATACACACGCACGCACACACACGCACACACACGCACGCACACATGCATTCACGCGTGTGCTCGTGCCGACGTGCGTACGTACGGCCTTGCGCGTGCCGGCCGGTGGGGCGTGCGTCCCCACGCCCCTGCGGGTGCGTGAGCGTGAGGCCGGGTCGGAGGCCTCGCCCAGGCGGCCCATCCTGGGGGAGCTCAGCTCCATCTGAGAGCCTGTGCAGTGGGGACACGGACACACAGGGAGATAGACACACAGAGAGATAGACACAGTCACACAGAGAGATAGACACACACAGGGAGATAGACACAGAGAGAGATAGACAGTCACACAGAGAGATAGACACACACAGAGATAGAGAGTCACACAGAGAGATAGACACACAGAGAGATAGACACAGTCACACAGAGAGATAGACACACACAGGGAGATAGACACACACAGGGAGATAAACACACAGAGAGATAGACAGTCACACAGAGAGATAGACACAGACACACAGAGATAGACAGTCACACAGAGAGATAGACACACAGAGAGACAGACACGGTTACATAGAGAGATAGACACACACAGAGAGATAGACACAGTCACACAGAGATAGACACAGACACACAGAGAGATAGACACACACAGAGAGATAGACACACACAGAGAGATAGACACATACAGAGAGATAGACACAGACACACAGAGAGATAGACACACACACAGGGAGATAGACAGTCACACAGAGAGATAGACACACACAGAGAGACAGACACGGTTACATAGAGAGATAGACACACAGAGAGATAGACACACAGAGATAGACACACAGAGATAGACACGGTCACATAGAGAGATAGACACGGACACGCAGAGAGATAGACATACATAGAGAGATATACACGGACACACAGAGAGATAGACACACACAGAGATAGACACACACAGAGAGATAGACACATTCACACAGAGAGATAGACACGGTTATATAGAGAGATAGACACACAGAGAGATAGACACACACAGAGATAGACACAGTCACATAGAGAGATAGACACGGACACACAGAGAGATAGACACACACAGAAAGATAGACACACACACAGAGATAGACACACACAGAGAGATAGACACACACAGAGAGATAGACACACTCAGAGAGATAGACACAGTCACACAAAGATAGACACACACACAGAGATAGACACACACAGAGATAGACACGGTCACATAGAGAGATAGACACACAGAGAGAGATAGACACACATAGAGAGATAGACACACACAGAGAGATAGACACGGTCACACAGAGAGATAGAGACGGTCACACAGAGGAGAAGTGGTAAAAATGTAAAGCCCTTTGTTAATCCACTGCTGGATGAAGCCCTCCCCGTGCCATCTTTGGTCATGGGAGGGCTCCGTAGAGACGGCTGTGGAGGTACCCTCTTCTCGGTGGCTTTTGGCCTACTCTTCCACAATGTCCAGTGCATCTCGCAAGAGGTGGGAGTTACCCCAGCGCACGCGACCTGCCGATGGTAGGCTACCTGTGGCTGAATCCACTCACGCTGCCGGGCGAACAGATGCATTGGGCGAGGGGGGGCAGGTGGCTGGCCGGGGGGGTTAAGAAACTTGCTCCCCCGTTCCAAACCGCCGCGCCGGGAGATTGGAGTCAAACCGGCGTGACCTCTGGATCGCGAGACGTGGCGATGCTGACCCGCTTAAGAAACTCTTCACAAACAAACAAAAGCAATCGGCGTAATTTGATGTTAATTTGCGGTTGGGCAAGAGGCCCGGGATGGACATTCCTAGAGCCGCAATCAGAGCCAAGACCCGAAGATCTCTACAGAGCCCGACGCAGCCACGGTCGTCGTTGTGTTGGTGTCATCGGAGGTGCGGAGGAAGGACAACAAACGGATGGTTATCTGTGTTGAGTCTAAGGGTCTCTGAGTCCATGTATGTAGGTGTGTTGAACTTCTTTCGCACCGTACGTAGCCAACCGTGCTAACCGGAGGTGCGGTGGAAGGAGAACAAACTAAACACAAAAAAGCAGTTCTTAATCTGGATTTTAAAGTGCATAGCTCCCAGTGGACTCCGAATATTGGAAGGAAGAGCGTTCATTATAAGATCGCACTCATTACACGCAAAGTGCTTGCCACAAATGAACCACGATACCCCACTGATCTCGTCAAGGAGCAAAAGCCATCATCAGGCCAACGCCAGTGGTCATCCTCGCAGCGGCGGCGGCGGTAGCGGTGGCGGCAGCGGCAGCGGCAGCAGCGGCAGCAGCGGCGGTGGCAGTGGCGGCAGCAGCAGCAACGGCAGCAGCGGCAAGCAGCGGCAACAGCGGTGGCAGCAGCGGCAGCAGCAGCAGTGGCTTTTGACTGCTGTCATCGAACAAAGACGGTGGCCACCGCATCATCATCGCGCGGCGCTTTCAGGTGCGCTTCTGTGGCCGTCTGGAACGCTCTTCCTTCCAATATTGGAAAGCCAGTGGTGCACTTTTAAAAATGATATAGATATAGATTGACAAACTCATTTCTTTAGAACTGCTTTTTGTGTTTAGCTTCTTGTTGTTGTTCCCCCCGCACGCCTCTCCCATTGGCACAGCCGGCTGCGTACGGTTGAAGATAAAACAAGTTAAACGTACGCACGCGCGCACGCGCACGCACATACAGATGTACGTGCGTGCGCGTGCATGCGTGCGTACATCCCAGATAGGAGACGGAACTGGAACCGGCGACCCCTGTCTGGATAGCGAGTCCAGCGCGCTCACCACTACAACTCTGAATGACAGCAGCAACCCCTCTGTTGGGGGCAGGTGTTAGAACCCCCCCCCACTAACGGAGGGAGGGGGGTGGTGAGGTGGTAAGGTGGTGAGGTGGTGGTAGGGGAGGGGATGTAACGGATGTTCCCGCTGCTCGTGAGACTCAGCGGCCAGCCGTGGAGGTGGTGGACGCGTCGCTGTAATTGGTTGTGACGGAACGGGCTGCCCTGCGTTTCCCAGGGCAGCCGTGTGAGCGCTGCAAACCCGGGGGGCGCGGCGCGGCGAGAGACGTTTTTAAAATGAATTCGTTGTATTTATATAAATATATAAATGTGTGTGCGCGTGTAGGGGGAGCGGTGGTGTAGCGGTTCGCGCTACGCTGCGCTACAAACCCGGCCGCCGGACGCTCGATTCCCGCTCACAGCCAACACCGGTGACAATTATCTAAACCGGTCCTGGGCCTCCCCTAGATCGACACAGCCTCAAATGAGTACCCGGTGCGGTGCGTAGTAAACATTGCCACTGGGGAGACAAAGGCGGCCGGGCGTGGTGCTGACCACCCACCCTCTCGTGTGCCGTGCCGGCTTTCATAGGTGCTACTCGCTAACAGCACTTGCCCAAAGAGTCTGTTGAGGCTATACGGGGGATCTTTGTCTTTTGTGCTTGCGTGTGTACTTCACAAGTGTATTTCTTGCGCCGTCTTCAACGACTGCATTGGCGCTTTGCCCTTTTTGAGAATTTAATTCGGGGTGGGGAGGGGTGGGTCCAGGTGTGCAGGTGTGGGGGTGTGTCGGTCTGAAACCCCAGGTGATACCCCAAGTGATACCCCAGGTGACACCCCAGGTGACACCCTAGGTGAGACCCCAGGTGAGACCCCAGGTGACACCCCAGGTGACACCCCAAGTGAGACCCCAGGTGAGACCCCAGGTGAGACCCCAAGTGAGACCCCAGGTGACACCCCAGGTGACACCCCAGGTGAGACCCCAGGTGAGACCCCAGGTGAGACCCCAGGTGACACCCCAGGTGATACCCCAGGTGATACCCCAGGTGAGACCCCAGGTGACACCCCAGGTGACACCCCAAGTGAGACCCCAGGTGACACCCCAGGTGACACCCCAGGTGACACCCCAGGTGACACCCCAAGTGAGACCCCAGGTGATACCCCAGGTGATACCCCAGGTGACACCCCAGGTGACACCCCAGGTGACACCCCAGGTGACACCCCAAGTGAGACCCCAGGTGACACCCCAGGTGACACCCCAGGTGACACCCCAGGTGACACCCCAAGTGAGACCCCAGGTGACACCCCAGGTGATACCCCAGGTGACACCCCAGGTGACACCCCAGGTGACACCCCAGGTGACACCCCAAGTGAGACCCCAGGTGAGACCCCAGGTGACACCCCAGGTGACACCCCAAGTGAGACCCCAGGTGACACCCCAGGTGATACCCCAGGTGAGACCCCAGGTGACACCCCAGGTGACACCCCAAGTGATACCCCAGGTGAGACCCCAGGTGAGACCCCAGGTGAGACGCCACGCGAGAGATGCGGGGGAGCCCCACCGGTCCACATGTCCGAGTGGCGAGCGGACCCCGGCGGCAGGGGTGGCCGCCTCTGCTGGCGCCCGCCAACGACCGTGGCGTCCGGGCCGCCCCGCTTGGCCAGCCTCGCTGGGGAGGGGCCCCCGGCGCCGGCGAGGCACCCCGGGGCACGAGCGGCGGAGGCGGGGTCCGGGGGGGCCCCACGGTCGGGGCTCACGCGCTCCAGGGACAGCTCGGCCAGGTCGGGCCCCGGGGTGCGGACGCTGGCGCCCAGCAGCGAGGCGGAGCGCTTCATGGGGCTCGCGTCCCGGATGGGCTGCCACGGGACGGGAGAGACGGGCGGGGGGAGTGGAGGTGGGGGGACACGGTGGGAGGGGGACATGGTGGGGGGGGGGGGGGGAGACGGTGTGGGGTGGGGAAGACGGTGGGGGGGGGGAACGGTGGGGGGGGGATGGGGGGAGGAAGACGGTGGGGGGAGATGGTCCGGCAAACGCCCAACGTCTGGGGACTATCGTGGGGGCTGTTGATGTCCATTGCTGCACCCTGCACCATGTGCAGGGTGCAGCACGCAGCTGCCAGCCTCTGAGAGGTGCATCAAGGACCGGTCCGATAGCGCCTGTGACGCCGTGTACTGATCCGGCAGCCAGGCTATTGGATGGAGTCGAACTGGGGTCGCTGGGTGTCTAGTGCAGCGCGTTAACCGCTTTCTGCCGCTCTGCCGACTGTGTGACCACACACGCACTGTGTGTGTGATCACACACACACAGTGCGTGTGTGTGTGGTCACACACACACTGTAGGTGACACACACACGCTGTCGGTGACACACACACACACATTGTCGGTGACACACACACACTGTAGGTGACACATAACACACACTGTAGGTGACACACACACACTATGTGTGACTGACCACACACACACTGTGTGACCACACACACAGGCAGACTCATCCGTCACACGCAGGCAAAACAACTCAAGCATCTCGGAATCTTCTTCAGCAGGAGTCGGCTTCTTTTTCTTTATCAGATACAAATTCCAGAGAAAGGGAGATGCTCAAATATTTAAATAAATAGCCACTAAGATAACAGCGAAAACAAGATTGTGTAAACATCTGATAGGAAGGGGGAGGGCACCGACCACGACGGACGGTGCAGACAAATGTCCCCCGTGTAGCCTTGCAGCCTGGCTGGGGCAAGTGCTCGTCAGCGAGGCCCGATGGTGGTGCGGTGTGGCGAATAGCGGTGGCAACGTCCGGTTCATGCTCACCGCACCCAGGCGCTCATTGAAGGCTGAGTGGACCTCAACCAGGGGTGGGGAACCTTTTTTCTGCCAAGGGCCATTTGGATATTTATAACCTCATTCGCGGGCCATACAAAATTATCAACTTAAAAATTTGCCTGTTATATTTGGTCAAACATTTAGTTAACTCACCCCTAATGTGATGGCTGGAACTGCTTCTCTTTGGCGAGGCGCGTGATGATGTTAGGCAGTATTGACGATGTTGCTACTCGCCACTGCTTTTCCAGGTTTGCTCCTAGATTTATTGAATTTCGAGTCCCGCTTGCGGTTGCTTTGGCATGGCCTGACCAAATGATATTGCGGTGCCTTATACGGCCCGCAGGCCGGACGTTCCCCACCCCTGACCTAAACGAGAACTAAACTCCGTTGAATTTGTTTTGCCAGGTAAGAAGGCCTCGCTGAGCTATGTCGCTGATTTTTATTCAGAAGCGACCTGGAAGCTCAACGAAGCGGCTTAATCATCATCGCGTCGAAATGTTTGTCAGCCAAATAACTCCAAAACACACAAGTGTGGAGGGGAGTAACCGGAGGAGCCGGAGACAGATTCACGCCACCACAGGGAGAGAGAGGGAGGGAGAGAGGTAGAGGGGAGAGAGAGGGAGGGAGAGAGGTAGAGGGGGAGAGAGAGGGAGAGAGGTAGAGGGTGAGAGAGAGTAGTAGTAGGTGGTGGTGGGCGGCATACCGACAGTGCTGGGTGCAGGCCGGCCAGGAACGGCTGCTCACAGAGACGAAGAGGAGGAGAGGGGGACATGGGGGGGGGGGGGGGGTAGAAGGGAAGAGGTAACGCTGTGGGTTACAGTGCGACTCTTGGGTATCTCTTGTTGCCTTCATAGCATGACCATCGTTAGCACGGCATGACTGACACTGTCATGATCAAGTTACGACCCATCAGAATTATCATCATTACGAACCATCATCATCATTGTAATGAAAGAGCAATAGACAGACCGGAATGACTCACAGACAGACATTATGAACAGACATGACTAATAGAGACCTGATGGACAGACAGACGGACAGACTGATGGACTGATGGACAGACTGTCCCATGGAGAGACGCACAGACAGACCCAGCAGACCGACTGATGAACAAACCAACCAATGGACAGGCAAAGCGTACAGACACACGGATACACACGGACTGACACACCAACAAGATGGACAGACAGACAAAAACAAACACGCAAACAGATGGACGGACAATCAGACAAGACCGTCGGACGGCCAGACGACGGACGGGTGGACGGAGGGGCCACGCCGTGCCGAGGCGGCGCAGCGTGGCCGCAGGGGAGGGCCGCAGGGGAGGGCCGCAGGGGAGGGCCGCAGGGGAGGGCCGCAAGGGAGGGCTGCAGGGGAGAGTGGCAGGGGAGGGCCGCGTGCCTCTGCCAATCTTCACAAAGCGACAGAAACGCGTGGCTAGGCGATGGGGAATAACCGGTCCGGCACTTACGCGGTGCGCCTCTCTGTCTGACCTGAGCCTGGTCGACTACACGAGGCTGCCAGGTTATCACTAGAGTATCTTAGACGCGTGGCGGAGCTTCGAGTGGAGCCAAACGCGTGCGCCCTATGACCTCGCGCAGTTCCTGAATGAGCCCTTGTTCTGCAACGGCCTCTTCCAGGAGATCAGAGGAGAGAGGACCCTGGCTCTACGCCTCACATCAGCAGGGCTGTGGACAGTCTTCCACCTCGTGCAGGCCCACCAGCCCAAGTGGAAGACCGCAGCTGAGATCGCCAGCACCGCGGGACTCCGCTTCTCTCGCCGGGGAGAAGCTGCTGCGGGACGTCGCTCCGCACCATGAAGGAGCTGCGCCTGAAGATAGAGGCGCCGGAGGACGGTGGCGGCCCCCCCCCCCCCCTCCTTCTTCCCGGAGTTGCACTTCTCCTGCGCGTAGCCCCCCGGCCACAGCGACTCCGGCAAGCTACTGAAGCTCCGAGGCTGCAGGAATGTGTCCCTGAAGAGCGCCCCAAACAAAGCGCTCTACACGTGCTGTGTCAAGGCGCTGGGGGGCCGGAAAAGCCCTCTGTACCAGCGTGGACGGCACCCTCGTGTTCACCTTCTGAAGCGCTCGCTCGTCGCCGTGGCCTGCGCGGTGACCACCACCACGTGACTTTTCTTTTGAGTTGTGCGCGGCGCATTTAGCGCCACAGCGCGTGGATTTACAGTATTTGTTATTTGTGTCGCTGGTGACTTTGTGTATTTCCTACCGGAATCGCCTCCAGTTGCGTTTGCTGCTGGCAGCAATAAAAGTTGTTTAAAAGTCTATGTCGCTTTCTCTCTTTCTCTATCGCTCTCTCGGTCTCTCACTGTCTCTCACTGTCTCTCGCTCTCTTCCCCCAAGTAACATCTCCACCGTGCCGGCGGGCTGCTGAGCTCCCAGCGTCTCCCCCCCGTTCCCCAAGTTTACATGTTTGCTCGCGTCTACGAATGCCTCAAACGCAAGAAGAGTCACACGCGGCGGGGTGGGTGGCGGTGTGGGTGGTAACGGGTGGCCGGACGAAGACGCAGGGCTGAGCGTAATTGCCAAAGACCGCGGTGCGTGTGTGTGGACGGAGACCGGACAATGCGACTCGTTGCACCTCCGATTACCACGGTTCAACAAGCACGGTGCGAAAGAAGTTCAAATATACACAGATTGGATAAGAGAGAGAGGAGACGACTCAGAGAGAGAGCGGGGGAACGACTCAGATTTAGGGGGCATGACTCAGAGAAAAAGGGACAGAGAGGATGATGAGTGTGTATGTTGCACGTACAGAAGATTGAGTGAAAGTTCAATTCATTTTTACAAATTCCATTGGCTGCACGGCCTTCTGGGAGAGCGTGATTTCAGCAGCAGTGGTTACAAAGCAAGCAAAACTCTGCACCCGTTTCGACGTTCAGCGTCTCATCAGCAGATGCAGGCATGACATCAACCAATGCTGGCGAATGTTTGCCCAGACCTTTATCGGCAAGTGCCGCCCTCCACAGAGGTAAATAGAAGTGAGAAGCACCGGCACAACGTCGCGGCCCCGTGACACCGGGAACCAACCGACAGCGGCCGTCACACCAAACGAAGGATGAACTGTGTGACCCCCCCCCTCCCCCGGCAAAGGAATGTGGAGTTTCCGCGCACGGCCGCGGGGGGCGGGCGGCGGGGGTAGGGTTAGAGAGGGCGAGGTAACGTGCCTGAGCGTCGACGGTGAGACGGGGGAGGGAGGTGGCGCGGGCCTGGGCCTCCAGCGAAGCGCGGGGGTCGCCGGCGCAGGAGAGGGCGCTCAGCTCGTACGTCTGTGGGGGAGCGCCGTTAACATCGCAAACCGGCGTCGGCACCGTCATCGTCGTCATCGTCGTCCTTGTCCTCGTCATCGTCGTCATCCTTGTCCTTGTCCTCGTCGTCATCGTCCTTGTCTCTATCGTTGTCATCATCATAGTAATCGTTGTCGTCCTCGTCGTCGTCATCGTCGTCATCGTCGTTGTCATCGTCGTTGTCATCGTCGTCATCGTGATCATTGTGGTTCGTTGTCCTTCCACCCGATAAGCACGGTTGGCTATGTGCGGTGCGGAAGAATTACAACATACATACATAGACTCACACACAGAGACCCATAGACTCACACAGAGAGACCCGCATAGACTCACACACAGAGACCCATAGACTCACACAGAGAGACCCGCATAGACTCACACAGAGATCCATAGACTCACACACAGACACCCATAGACTCACACAGAGCGACCCGCATAGACTCACACAGAGATCCATAGACTCACACACAGACACCCATAGACTCACACAGAGAGACCCATAGACTCACACAGAGAGACCCGCATAGACTCACACACAAGAGACCCATAGACTCACAGAGACCCATAGACTCACACACAGAGACCCATAGACTCACACAGAGAGACCCATAGACTTACACAGAGAGACCTGCATAGACTCACACACAGAGACCCATAGACTCACACAGAGAGACCCGCATAGACTCACACACAGAGACCCATAGACTCACACAGAGAGCCCCGCATAGACTCACGCAGAGATCCAAAGACTCACACACAGAGACACATAGACTCACACAGAGATCCATAGACTCACACACAGAGACACATAGACTCACACAGAGAGACCCAACGACTCACACAGAGAGACGCATAGACTCACACACAGAGACCCATAGACTCACACATAGAGACCCGCATAGACTTACACAGAGATCCATAGACTCACACACAGAGACCCATAGACTTACACAGAGAGACCTGCATAGACTCACACAGAGATCCATAGACTCACACACAGAGACACATAGACTCACACAGAGAGACACATAGACTCACACAGAGATCCATAGACTCACACACAGACCCATAGACTCACACAGAGAGACCCGCATGGACTCGCACACAGAGACACATAGACTCACACACAGAGACCCATAGACTCACACAGAGAGTTCCATAGACTCACACAGAGAGACCCGCATAGACTCACACACAGAGACACACAGACTCACATAGAGAGAACCGCATAGACTCACACAGAGAGACCCACATAGACTCACACACAGAAACCCATAGACTCACACAGAGAGATCCCCGCATAGACTCACACAGAGATCCATAGACTCACACACAGAGACACATAGACTCACACAGAGAGACCCATATAGACTCACACATAGATCCATAGACTCACACACAGAGACACATAGACTCACACAGAGAGACCCACATAGACTCACACAGAGATCCATAGACTCACACACAGAGACACATAGACTCACACAGAGAGAGCCGCATAGACACACACACAGACCCATAGACACACACACAAAGACACATAGACTCACACACTGAGATACAGACTCACACAGAGAGACCCATAGACTCACACACAGAGACACATAGACTCACACAGAGAGACCCGCATAGACACACACAGAGAGACCCATAGACACACACACAGACCCATAGACACACACACACAGAGACACATAGACTCACACACAGAGACACATAGACTCACACAGAGAGACCCGCATAGACACACACACACAGACCCATAGACAGACACACACACAGAGACACATAGACTCACACACAGAGACACATAGACTCACATAGAGAGACCCGCATAGCCACACACACAGACCCATAGACACACACACAGAGACACATAGACTCTCACACAGAGACCCACGACTCACACATAGGCCTGTAGACTGACACACAGAGACCCACGGACTCACACGTACACCCAAAAACTCACACAGAGATCCAGACTCACATGGAGACCCAAAGACTTACTCTCACCTGCACGGCGCCGTATCCGGTGAAGGGGGGCTCGATGCGCCGGCTCTGCCGCGTCCTCTGAACCATCTCCTGGGCTCGCTGGGTCACCCACGACACCGACGTGGTGAGCTCACCCCTGCCACAGCGCGCCACAGAGAGAAAGGTCCCCCCCATAGCCTCAACGGACTCTCTGGGGGCAAGTGCCGTTAGCAGCAACCTACACGCTGGATGTACCATGAGGACCCACCGTTGTGTCTGTCTACCGGGCGAGGTGCTGGCCACCCACCCCCTCGTGTGCTGTGCTGGCCTTCATTAGGCGCTGCTACTCACTAACACGACTTGCCCCGACAGTCTGCTAAGACTACACGGGGGATCTTTGACTGTGTGTTTGTCTGGTGCATCATCACAGCCAACCCACGGCCTATAGGTCTGTCCCCTGACCTCCTGCCAGCGCCGAGCCATCCACACTTCGCGTGGCCTCAAGCGCTGTGGCGACGTCACCGACACTTAATGGCGAATGGTGGTTGTTGTTATTATGTGTACGTGGTGGTGCGTCTGCCAGTCATCTCAGTCAACCCATAACGCTTGTGGTCCGGCCCGTGACTTCCCGATACCAAGGTTCTTTGCAAACCCACGGGTTTTTATCAGAGATTTGTTCACGAGGCAATTCAGATTTACAAACACAGACACAATTTCAACCGAGAAGATGGTTTCAAATTAAGCAACCATTGGAAAGATGTTCTAAATCGAACCAAACTAATTTTCAATGGTACAGTATATTTTTTCAAGTAGTGGTACCCCAAACTTTCGCAGCTCTTAACTTTTCACACCATCAATATGTAAACTCCCCCTCCCCCCCTCGCCGACCTGCACATGTTCACCCCCTCTACACCGTTCATCATGCTAAGTCCGCCAATTAAATGCTAATTTTTATGCTAATTCCTTTGTCAAGGCACCTTGTTTCCTCTCACACAGCTTAAAGGTTGCGGTCTGAGCTTGGCTGTGTTCACTCCAGCGCTGTCCTCGAGACAGTCTGGTCCCTTCACCTGATGAAGGCCGCTTGTGTTGTGGCCGAAACGTCGTGATTTTTTTTTACCTACGTGACTTTACCTAATAGAACCAAAGAATATGATTCCCGCTAGTAGTGAGCCTTTGACACTTCATGTGGCCTAAAGCGCCGTGGTGACGTCACCGCCACTTAGTGGCGAATGGCGGTTGTTGTTATTGTGTGTACGTGGCGGTGAGTCTGCCAGTCATCTCAGTCAACCCATGGCACCTGCTGGGTCTGTCCCGTGACCGCCTCTGTCAGTGAGCCTTCGACACTTCACCTGGCCTGGTACAGGCGCTGTGGTGATGTCACCGCCACTTAGCGACGAATGGCGGTGGCTGTTTTTGCTGTTGTGTGTGTCTGAGTGCGCGTTGCTCTCTCTGTGTGTGTGTGCGCGTCAGCTCACGGCTGCGTCTCTCCGTCGAGCAGTGGATGCTGGCCCGCCTGCATGTCCGGCCGGGCGTCCAGGCGGGGCGACCCCAACATCCTCTGGAAGAGCGACGGCTTGCGGCTCTGAACACGGGACACAAAGAGGGCAAAGACAAAAAATGTCGCCCGCCCCCACCCCCCCTCACCACCACCAACAACAAACATCCCCCGTATAGCTTATAACAGACTGTTGGGGCAAGTGCTGTTCCTGAGCGCCTATAAAGGCCGGCACGGTACATGAGGGGGTGGGTGGCCAACACCACGCCCGGCCGCCTTTGTCTTCCTAGTGGCGATATTTTATGTACCACACCAGGTACTCATTTGAGGCCGAGTCTACCTAGGAGAATCCCAGGACCGGTTCAGATAATCGTCACCGGTGTTGGCAGCCGTAGGCGGGAATCGAACTCGGGCCGCCGGGTTCATCAGCGCTGCGCGCTAATCGCTGCGCCACCACTCCGGCATGGCCAATCGCAAATTTCACGAGGTCAAATCCATATTTGTGGGGTTCACTCGGCAATGTCAACTTGTAACGAGCCACCACCGACACCCAGTAGTAACCCAGTATTAACTCAATATCTACTCAGTAGTCACCCAGTATTCACCCAGCATTCACCTAGTATTCCCGCAGTATTCACTCAGGGAATGCTGTGTCCGACTGCAGCGACTCGGGGAGTGCCGTTTCTGACTGCTGACACTCTCCGAAGCTATGCACCATCTGGGCACAGCTGCCTCCGGTGAGCTGTGCCCGGCAAAGTTTTCACCCCGACTCGTCTGGGAGGTGGGGGGGGGTTCTCCGGTTCTCAGGAAAATATGCGAGGAGCGTCCACAGAGACCGACCGACGGACGGACGCCCGCGTGGACAGACCTACGTAATACGTCCCAGACGCAGCAACGAACCCCTGAAGAACACCCCGGCCGCTTTAGCGCCGCTCCAGAAAGTAAAGACACGCCCCAAACGTGTAACCCGGTGTTGTCGATGAAGTTACACAGATCTACGTACGCACGTTGAACTTCTTTCGCACCGTACGTAGCCAGTCGCGCTAATCGGAGGTGCGGGGGGGGGAAGGACAACAAACTAAACATAAAAAGCAGTTCTAAAGAAATTAGTTTGTCAATCTAGACGATGATTTAAAAGTGGCATCGTTCCCAGTGGCTTCCTAATATGGGAAGGGCGTTGCGGATTGCCGCAGAAGCGCTTCTGAAAGCGTGCGATGTGGTGACTAAAGATGTAGTCACACACAGACATGCGACCACAGACTACCACACACACTACCACACACACACACCCCCATACACCAATAAAACACGAAAGCAAAGATCCCCCATATAGCCTTGACAGACTGTTGGGGAAAGTGATGAAGGTGGATGGAGGAGGTGAATGCAGGAGCTGGATGGAGGAGGTGGATGGAGGAGGTGGATGGAGGAGGTGGATGGAGGTGGTGGATGGAGATGGAGGAGGTGGATGGAGGAGGTGGATGGAGGAGGTGGATGGAGATGGAGGAGGTGGATGGAGGTGGTGGATGGAGGTGGTGGATGGAGATGGAGGAGGTGGATGGAGGAGGTGGATGGAGGAGGTGGGAGAGGAGGTGGAGGGGTGCGCCTCAGGATGCCTGACGCTCTCTTAGGTTAAATACCAAACGCTGAACCCTCACATTTTTGGGCTTCAATTCCCCCTCCCCTCACTCCCTCTCTGCTCTCCTCGACGTTTTTTCTGGCAGCTCCGCCGGCTGCGAGAAGAGAATTAGCAACGTACGGTGCGATAGAAGTTGAACATACATACACCACATACTACGCTATACACTACCCACTACACTATATACGACAATACACTACAAGACTAAATTGAAGCAATTATATGCTTGGGTCTTTCGGTAAAGTCACGTAGATAGGTTCAGAGAAAATAATAAAAAATAACAGAAAACTACGACGTTTCGATGGCAACGCAAGCGGTCATCTTCAGGAAAAGGGGGGGGGGGGGGTTCGCTTCCAAGGGAAACTGTTGATAAGGGTTGTAAATGGGCGTAGCCCAAATGTCAGCAGCCAATGATAATGTGAGTGGTGGGCAGCCAACCCGACGGTGGTTCGTTTTCCACCAATCAAAGGGTTGCCGGGTGAGAATGAGCATGTTGCAGAGAGATGAGCATGTTAATGGGAGATGAGCATGTTAATGGGAGATGAGCATGTTAATGGGAGATGAGCATGTTAATGGGAGATGAGCATGTTAATGGGAGATCGCAGAGCCGCAACCAAGGCAAGCGAAGTGACTGTGTTAGTTGTGCTTTACGCTCATTTCAACCTTGCGTTTCACAGTCACTTCGTGCACCGACACCATTTTCAAACCCTTATACACAGTTTGCCTTGGAAGCTAACCCTCCTCTTCCTGAAAATGACCGCTTGCGTTGCAATCGAAACGTCGAAGTTTTTTTGTTATTTGTGATTATTTTCTTTGAACCTATCTACGTGACTTCACCGAAAGATCTAAAAATATGAATTCCTGCAGTCACGAAAGCTTTAAGTCAAGATTGATGCAATTATTTATATAGAATTGTTATATTCTTAGCTCTTTCGGTAAAGTCACGTTGAAGGGAAACAATAAAATAATAATATATATATAAAACAATAAAAATTCTCACGACGTTTCGACCATAACACAAACGGTCGTCATGGTCGTGAGAAATTTTATTGTGTTATATATATTTTATTATTTTATTGTTTCCCTTCAACGTGACTTTACCGAAAGAGCTAAGAATATGAATTACTGCAGTCACGAAAGCTTTAAATCAAAATTTAGAATTGTTATGTTTAGGTTGTTATTCTTCCCCCGCACCTCCTATTAGAGCGCTTGGCTACTTACAGTGCAAAAGAAGTTTAACACTACCATAGACTCAACACTACCCATAGACTCAACAGCCCATAGACTCAACACTACCCATAGACTCAACACTGCCCATAGACTCAACACTACCCATAGACTCAACACTACCCATATACTCAACACTACCCATAGACTCAACACTACCCATAGACTCAACACTACCCATAGACTCAACACTACCCATAGACTCAACACTGCCCATAGACTCAACACTACCCATAGACTCAACACTACCCATAGACTCAACACTAACCATAGACTCAACACTACCCATAGACTCAACACTACCCATAGACTCAACACTGCCCATAGACTCAACACTACCCATAGACTAAACACTGCCCATAGACTAAACACTACCCATAGACTCAACACTACCCATAGACTCAACACTACCCATAGACTCAACACTGCCCATAGACTCAACACTACCCATAGACTCAACACTACCCATAGACTCAACACTACCCATAGACTCAACACTACCCATAGACTCAACACTACCCATAGACTCAACACTACCCATAGACTCAACACTACCCATAGACTCAACACTACCCATAGACTCAACACTGCCCATAGACTCAACACTACCCATAGACTCAACACTACCCATAGACTCAACACTACCCATAGACTCAACACTACCCATAGACTCAACACTACCCATAGACTCAACACTACCCATAGACTCAACACTACCCATAGACTCAACACTGCCCATAGACTCAACACTGCCCATAGACTCAACACTGCCCATAGACTCAACACTGCCCATAGACTCAACACTGCCCATAGACTAAGCACTGCCCATAGACTCAGCACTGCCCATAGACTCAGTACTGCCCATAGACTCAGCACTGCCCATAGACTCAACACTGCCCATAGACTCAGCACTGCCCATAGACTCAACACTGCCCATAGACTCAACACTGCCCATAGACTCAACACTGCCCATAGACTCAACACTGCCCATAGACTCAGCACTGCCCATAGACTCAGCACTGCCCATAGACTCAACACTGCCCATAGACTCAACACTGCCCATAGACTCAACACTGCCCATAGACTCAACACTGCCCATAGACTCAACACTGCCCATAGACTCAACACTGCCCATAGAATCGACACTACACCTACGATTAGCACGGTTGGCTACGTACGGTGGAAAAGAAGTTCAACGTGGTACATCCCGGCCGTGTAGGCCTTGACTTTACCAACCACAGTGCGAATAACAAAATACTTTTCTCGAAAGCAATTTGGTAGACAAAACCAAGAAGAGACATAAATTAAAATTTAAATATTATAGGGACAATAAACACATTCACATCGGCCAGATATTCAATTTCGGCTTCCTCGACAAACGCAATAAAAATAATAAATCCCTGCTGGTTAGCATCAAACGCCGGGGGATCCCTGCACGTGGTGGATGGTCTGGTGTGGGGGGGCGGGGGGTCACGTGGGGTGGGGGGGGGACGGGGGGGGGGACACGGAGGGGGGGACACGGGGGGGGGCACAGGGAGGTGGAGGGGGGATCACGGGGGGGGGGACACGTTGGGGGAGGGGGCACACGTGGTGGGGGTGGGGGTCAGTTGTTGAGGTTCAGGTATTTCGCGCTATTCAACTCTGGACAGCTTTTCCCGACATATATTTTGTGCGAGTTAAAGTTGTATTCACAATTCCTCTCCTACTCCCATCCAGAGTCGGATTTCCTAGCAGCTACACGGCCAGAATGAGTAAAAAAAATAACTCGCTCTGCGTGTGTGTGGACCGCCGTCGTTAGGACGACGTCGCGACGCCAACGTTAGGAGATGACGCCAACGTTAGGGGACAAGATGACGTTAGGGTTCAATGTTGAGTTTTTTGCCACCAAGCCTGAGAGCCCCATGAACTGCTTACTGCGGTCTTGTCTTCACTCATTCTCACAAGCCGGGAGGGGGGGGGGGAGCACTTTCGCCGTGTGACGTGGGCCGCCGCACCATTTGAAACTCTTCAGGTGTTTGACAGCAGCACGATGATGATGATGATGATTACGATGATGCGGGGAGTTTCTCACTCTTTGTGTATTGGCATGGGGGCAGGGCGCACGTCAGGGGCAGCATTAAAGGCCGCCAGTCGCCCGCAGTTGCCTAGCGATGATGCAAGGGTGGAAAAAACCCGATTTTTTTTGCAAATTTGATCGGGTTATTGGTTTTATTTAAAAAAAAAA